ACAGCCAAGAAGAGTGTGGGTGTCAGCCAACAAGAGTGTGGGTGTCAGCCAACAACAGTGTGGGTGTCAGCCAACAAGAGTGTGGGTGACAGCCAACAAGAGTGTGGGTGACAGCCAACAAGAGTGTGGGTGACAGCCAACAAGAGTGTGGGTGACAGGCAACAAGAGTGTGGGTGTCAGCCAACAAGAGTGTGGGTGTCAGCCAACAAGAGTGTGGGTGTCAGCCAACAAGAGTGTGGGTGACAGCCAAGAAGAGTGTGGGTGTCAGCCAACAAGAGTGTGGGTGTCAGCCAACAACAGTGTGGGTGTCAGCCAACAAGAGTGTGGGTGACAGCCAACAAGAGTGTGGGTGACAGCCAACAAGAGTGTGGGTGTCAGCCAACAAGAGTGTGGGTGTCAGCCAACAAGAGTGTGGGTGTCAGCCAACAAGAGTGTGGGTGTCAGCCAACAAGAGTGTGGGTGTCAGCCAACCAGAGTGTGGGTGTCAGCCAACAAGAGTGTGGGTGTCAGCCAACAAGAGTGTGGGTGACAGCCAACAAGAGTGTGGGTGTCAGCCAACAAGTGTGTGGGTGTCAGCCATCAAGAGTGTGGGTGTCAGCCAACAAGAGTGTGGGTGTCAGCCAACAAGAGTGTGGGTGTCAGCCATCAAGAGTGTGGGTGTCAGCCAACAAGAGTGTGGGTGTCAGCCAACAAGAGTGTGGGTGACAGCCAACAAGAGTGTGGGTGTCAGCTAACAAGAGTGTGGGTGTCAGCCATCAAGAGTGTGGGTGTCAGCCAACAAGAGTGTGGGTGACAGCCAACAAGAGTGTGGGTGTCAGCCAACAAGAGTGTGGGTGACAGCCAACAAGAGTGTGGGTGTCAGCCTACAAGAGTGTGGGTGTCAGCCAACAAGAGTGTGGGTGACAGCCAACAAGAGTGTGGGTGTCAGCCAACAAGAGTGTGGGTGACAGCCAACAAGAGTGTGGGTGTCAGCCAACAAGAGTGTGGGTGACAGCCTACAAGAGTGTGGGTGACAGCCAACAAGAGTGTGGGTGTCAGTCAACAAGAGTGTGGGTGACAGCCAACAAGAGTGTGGGTGACAGCCAACAAGAGTGTGGGTGACAGCCAACAAGAGTTTGGGTGACAGCCAACAAGAGTGTGGGTGTCAGCCAACAAGAGTGTGGGTGTCAGCCAACAACAGTATGGGTGTCAGCCAACAAGAGTGTGGGTGACAGCCAACAAGAGTGTGGGTGACAGCCAACAAGAGTGTGGGTGTCAGCCAACAAGAGTGTGGGTGACAGCCAACAAGAGTGTGGGTGTCAGCCAACAGGAGTGTGGGTGACAGCCAACAAGAGTGTGGGTGACAGCCAACAAGAGTGTGGGTGTCAGCCAACAAGAGTGTGGGTGACAGCCAACAAGAGTGTGGGTGACAGCCAACAAGAGTGTGGCTGACAGCCATCAAGAGTGTGGGTGTCAGCCAACAAGAGTGTGGGTGACAGCCAACAAGAGTGTAGGTGTCTGCCAACAAGAGTGTGGGTGTCAGCCAACAAGAGTGTGGGTGACAGCCAACAAGAGTGTGGGTGTCAGCCAACAAGAGTGTGGGTGACAGCCAACAAGAGTGTGGGTGACAGCCAACAAGAGTGTGGGTGTCTGCCAACAAGAGTGTGGGTGTCAGCCAACAAGAGTGTGGGTGACAGCAAACAAGAGTGTTGGTGTCAGCCAACAAGAGTGTGGGTGACAGCCAACAAGAGTGTGGGTGACAGCCAACAAGAGTGTGGGTGACAGCCAACAAGAGTGTGGGTGTCAGCCAACAAGAGTGTGGGTGTCAGCCAACAAGAGTGTGGGTGTCAGCCAACAAGAGTGTGGGTGTCAGCCAACAAGAGTGTGGGTGTCAGCCAACAAGAGTGTGGGTGACAGCCAACAAGAGTGTGGGTGACAGCCAACAAGAGTGTGGGTGACAGCCAACAAGAGTGTGGGTGTCAGCCAACAAGAGTGTGGGTGACAGCCAACAAGAGTGTGGGTGTCAGCCAACAAGAGTGTGGGTGTCAGCCAACAAGAGTGTGGGTGACAGCCAACAAGAGTGTGGGTGACAGCCAACAAGAGTGTGGGTGACAGCCAACAAGAGTGTGGGTGTCAGCCAACAAGAGTGTGGGTGACAGCCAACAAGAGTGTGGGTGACAGCCAACAAGAGTGTGGGTGTCAGCCAACAAGAGTGTGGGTGACAGCCAACAAGAGTGTGGGTGTCAGCCAACAAGAGTGTGGGTGACAGCCAACAAGAGTGTGGGTGTCAGCCAACAAGAGTGTTGGTGTCAGCCAACAAGAGTGTGGGTGACAGCCAACATGAGTGTGGGTGACAGGCAACAAGAGTGTGGGTGTCAGCCAACAAGAGTGTGGGTGACAGCCAACAAGAGTGTGGGTGACAGCCAACAAGAGTGTGGGTGTCAGCCAACAAGAGTGTGGGTGACAGCCAACAAGAGTGTGGGTGTCAGCCAACAAGAGTGTGGGTGACAGCCAACAAGAGTGTGGGTGACAGCCAACAAGAGTGTGGGTGACAGCCAACAAGAGTGTGGGTGACAGCCAACAAGAGTGTGGGTGACAGCCAACAAGAGTGTGGGTGACAGCCAACAAGAGTGTGGGTGTCAGCCAACAAGAGTGTGGGTGACAGCCAACAAGAGTGTGGGTGACAGCCAACAAGAGTGTGGGTGACAGCCAACAAGAGTGTGGGTGACAGCCAACAAGAGTGTGGGTGACAGCCAACAAGAGTGTGGGTGTCAGCCAACAAGAGTGTGGGTGATAGCCAACAAGAGTGTGGGTGACAGCCTACAAGAGTGTGGGTGTCAGCCAACAAGAGTGTGGGTGACAGCCAACAAGAGTGTGGGTGACAGCCAACAAGAGCGTGGGTGTCAGCCAACAAGAGTGTGGGTGACAGCCAACAAGAGTGTGGGTGACAGCCAACAAGAGCGTGGGTGTCAGCCAACAAGAGTGTGGGTGACAGCCAACAAGAGTGTGGGTGTCAGCCAACAAGAGCGTGGGTGTCAGCCAACAAGAGTGTGGGTGACAGCCAACAAGAGCGTGGGTGTCAGCCAACAAGAGTGTGGGTGACAGCCAACAAGAGTGTGGGTGACAGCCAACAAGAGCGTGGGTGTCAGCCAACAAGAGTGTGGGTGACAGCCAACAAGAGTGTGGGTGACAGCCAACAAGAGCGTGGGTGTCAGCCAACAAGAGTGTGGGTGACAGCCAACAAGAGCGTGGGTGTCAGCCAACAAGAGTGTGGGTGTCAGCCAACAAGAGTGTGGGTGACAGCCAACAAGAGCGTGGGTGTCAGCCAACAAGAGCGTGGGTGTCAGCCAACAAGAGTGTGGTTGACAGCCAACAAGAGCGTGGGTGTCAGCCAACAAGAGTGTGGGTGACAGCCAACAAGAGTGTGGGTGACAGCCAACAAGAGCGTGGGTGTCAGCCAACAAGAGTGTGGGTGACAGCCAACAAGAGTGTGGGTGTCAGCCAACAAGAGTGTGGGTGACAGCCAACAAGAGTGTGGGTGACAGCCAACAAGATTGTGGGTGACAGCCAACAAGAGTGTGGGTGACAGCCAACAAGAGTGTGGGTGACAGCCAACAAGAGTGTGGGTGACAGCCAACAAGAGTGTGGGTGACAGCCAACAAGAGCGTGGGTGTCAGCCAACAAGAGTGTGGGTGACAGCCAACAAGAGTGTGGGTGGCAGCCAACAAGAGCGTGGGTGTCAGCCAACAAGAGTGTGGGTGACAGCCAACAAGAGTGTGGGTGTCAGCCAACAAGAGCGTGGGTGTCAGCCAACAAGAGTGTGGGTGACAGCCAACAAGAGTGTGGGTGACAGCCAACAAGAGTGTGGGTGACAGCCAACAAGAGTGTGGGTGACAGCCAACAAGAGTGTGGGTGTCAGCCAACAAGAGCGTGGGTGTCAGCCAACAAGAGTGTGGGTGACAGCCAACAAGAGTGTGGGTGACAGCCAACAAGAGCGTGGGTGTCAGCCAACAAGAGTGTGGGTGACAACCAACAAGAGTGTGGGTGACAGCCAACAAGAGCGTGGGTGTCAGCCAACAAGAGTGTGGGTGACAGCCAACAAGAGCGTGGGTGTCAGCCAACAAGAGTGTGGGTGTCAGCCAACAAGAGCGTGGGTGTCAGCCAACAAGAGCGTGGGTGACAGCCAACAAGAGCGTGGGTGTCAGCCAACAAGAGTGTGGGTGTCAGCCAACAAGAGTGTGGGTGACAACCAACAAGAGTGTGGGTGACAGCCAACAAGAGCGTGGGTGACAGCCAACAAGAGTGTGGGTGTCAGCCAACAAGAGTGTGGGTGTCAGCCAACAAGAGCGTGGGTGTCAGCCAACAAGAGTGTGGGTGTCAGCCAACAAGAGCGTGGGTGTCAGCCAACAAGAGTGTGGGTGTCAGCCAACAAGAGTGTGGGTGTCAGCCAACAAGAGTGTGGGTGACAGCCAACAAGAGTGTGGGTGACAGCCAACAAGAGTGTGGGTGACAGCCAACAAGAGTGTGGGTGACAGCCAACAAGAGTGTGGGTGACAGCCATCAAGAGTGTGGGTGACAGCCAACAAGAGTGTGGGTGACAGCCAACAAGAGTGTGGGTGACAGCCAACAAGAGTGTGGGTGACAGCCAACAAGAGTGTGGGTGACAGCCAACAAGAGTGTGGGTGACAGCCAACAAGAGTGTGGGTGACAGCCAACAAGAGTGTGGGTGACAGCCAACAAGAGTGTGGGTGACAGCCATCAAGAGTGTGGGTGACAGCCAACAAGAGTGTGGGTGACAGCCAACAAGAGTGTGGGTGACAGCCAACAAGAGTGTGGGTGACAGCCAACAAGAGTGTGGGTGACAGCCATCAAGAGTGTGGGTGACAGCCAACAAGAGTGTGGGTGACAGCCAACAAGAGTGTGGGTGACAGCCAACAAGAGTGTGGGTGACAGCCAACAAGAGTGTGGGTGACAGCCAACAAGAGTGTGGGTGACAGCCTACGAGGTTTCTCTCTTCTTACCTTTATTATCTCTGCCCCTATGCTCAAGATTCGCTTGTGTCCTCTTCTTGTTTGTCTTCTTCTTCTTCTTGATTCCCTTCTTGTTGTTTTTCTTTTTCTTCTTGTTTTTCTTCTTCTTTACTTTATTTATCTTATTTTTCTTGTTTATTTTATTTTTATTTTTTATCTTATTATTTATCTGATTATTTCTGTTCTTCTTATTCTTTTTGTTTATCTTATTCTCCTTGTTTTTGTTTTTCTTCTTGTTTATCCTTTTTTTCCTTTTTTTCTTATTCTTGTTCACCTTATTCCTGTTTGTCTTATTCTTCCTCTTGTTTGTCTTCTTCTTTTTTGCCTTATTCTTCTTGTTTGGTTTATTCTTGTTTATCTTAATATTCTTTCTTATCTTATTCTTCTTGTTTGTCTTATTCTCCTTGTTTATCTTATTCTGTTTGTTTATCTTATTATTCTTGTTTGTCTTATTATTCTTGTTTGTCTTATTCTGTTTGTTTATCTTATTCTTCTTGTTTGTCTTATTCTTGTTTATCTTATTCTCTGTTGTTCTTCTATTTCCCTCATATGTTTTTCTGTATTTTATTTTTGTATTCACATTTTTTTTCTTGGGTTTAATTTTTCCATTCCTCTCCTGTTTCACTTTCTTATTTTTCTTATTTTTCTCATTTGTGTTGCTGATTTTAGTTATCTTGTTGCCCTTATTTCTCTTGATGTCTGTTGTTTGCCTCTCATTATTCTCATTCTTTCTCCGAGGCAGTGTTTTGGCGTTATTTACGGTCTGTTTACCGTTATTCTTGTTTCTTGTTCTTGATTCGTTCAACGGTTTCTTCTGTTTGTTCAACTGTTTCTTCTGTTTGTTCAACGGTTTCTGCTGTTTGTTCAACGGTTTCTGCTCTTTGTTCAACGGTTTCTGCTGTTTGTTCAACGGTTTCTGCTGTTTGTTCAACGGTTTCTGCTGTTTGTTCAACGGTTTCTGCTGTTTGTTCAACGGTTTCTGCTGTTTGTTCAAAGGTTTCTTCTGTTTGTTCAACGGTTTCTTCTGTTTGTTCAACGGTTTCTTCTGTTTGTTCAACTGTTTCTTCTGTTTGTTCAACGGTTTCTTCTGTTTGTTCAACGGTTTCTGCTGTTTGTTCAAAGGTTTCTTCTGTTTGTTCAACGGTTTCTTCTGTTTGTTCAACGGTTTCTTCTGTTTGTTCAACGGTTTCTTCTGTTTGTTCAACGGTTTCTTCTGTTTGTTCAACTGTTTCTTCTGTTTGTTCAACGGTTTCTGCTGTTTGTTCAACTGTTTCTTCTGTTTGTTCAACGGTTTCTTCTGTTTGTTCAACTGTTTCTTCTGTTTGTTCAACGGTTTCTTCTGTTTGTTCAACGGTTTCTGCTGTTTGTTCAAAGGTTTCTTCTGTTTGTTCAACGGTTTCTTCTGTTTGTTCAACGGTTTCTTCTGTTTGTTCAGCGGTTTCTTCTGTTTGTTCAACGGTTTCTGCTGTTTGTTCAAAGGTTTCTTCTGTTTGTTCAGCGGTTTCTTCTGTTTGTTCAACGGTTTCTTCTGTTTGTTCAACGGTTTCTTCTGTTTGTTCAACTGTTTCTTCTGTTTGTTCAACGGTTTCTTCTGTTTGTTCAACGGTTTCTGCTGTTTGTTCAAAGGTTTCTTCTGTTTGTTCAACGGTTTCTTCTGTTTGTTCAACGGTTTCTTCTGTTTGTTCAACGGTTTCTTCTGTTTGTTCAACGGTCTCTTCTGTTTGTTCAACGGTTTCTTCTGTTTGTTCAACGGTCTCTTCTGTTTGTTCAACTGTTTCTTCTGTTTGTTCAACGGTTTCTTCTGTTTGTTCAACGGTTTCTTCTGTTTGTTCAACGGTCTCTTCTGTTTGTTCAACTGTTTCTTCTGTTTATTCAACGGTTTCTTCTGTTTGTTCAACAGTTTCTTCTGTTTGTTCAACGGTTTCTTCTGTTTGTTCAACAGTCTCTTCTGTTTGTTCAACGGTTTCTTCTGTTTGTTCAACGGTTTCTTCTGTTCGTTCAACGGTTTCTTCTGTTTGTTCAACGGTTTCTTCTGTTTGTTCAACGGTTTCTTCTGTTTGTTCAACGGTTTCTTCTGTTTGTTCAACGGTCTCTTCTGTTTGTTCAACGGTTTCTTCTGTTTGTTCAACTGTTTCTTCTGTTTGTTCAACGGTTTCTTCATCCGGCCTCCAAGCATAGCAAAGTGTTCACTCCCTGTGATGTTATGAAGCGTTTTCTTTGTGTTTTTCCTACTTCGGAGTTTTCTCTCTATTATGAAGCGGAGTTTTTTCTTGTGGTCGTGTATGTCGCGTCGTGGTCGTCCCTTCAGGTCTATGGGTCGTTTCTGCAGGTCGGTGGGGCCCGCGTGATGTTGATTCCTGTCACTGAGTTTATTTTCTCTTTTGTTTCTATGGAGTTTCGTAATTTTATTTCTGTCTAACAGTTTACTTTCTCTAATTTCTTTGAGTTCTGGTTTACCCTCATTATTCTTTCTTTCTCTTGAAGACGTTTTCTTGGTGCGTGTCTTGTTGTGAGCGTTCAAGGCGTTTCGACGTTGTACATCACTGGTGGGTTGTTTGACGTCACCTTTCTCCTGGTTCCTTATTTCCCCATGACGACCCTTGCCAATATTTCCTTTAAGGTGTGTATTCTTGCCTTCGTGCAGCAGGCTGCTACTGCTGCCATCTTCAACAGGTGTTTCCCCAGCGTTCTCACTCTTTTCTCCTGTCCGGGGTGACGCTGACCACATCTTACCTGAAGAGGAGAAGAAAAAGGATTTTAGGAGTTATGCCCACCCGCCAAACACACACCGAAACTACGACGTTGGTACAACGTTCGAACAAGTTTTAATACTTCCTAACCAGATATAACAACCAATATAGCAAATTGTAACAACGTTCTAATACGTCATAAACACGTTAAGCCAAGATGTAACAACTTTATTACAAGTTGTAACAAGCAGAAAATAGAGACAATTACGGTTTGTGTTTCCTGGGCCCACTGTGTAAATATGCTCATTACCAGTGTTAGTGAGTCTTGATGCTTCTATTGCCTCTGAGTATTGTAGGGGGGTCATCAGAGAGGCACTCAGGTGAGACTTGACTTGATTTGTTTAAGTTTCTTCACGGAGGACTTTATTATGTCTCAAAAACATGGACACTGATGTTGATAAGGAGGGAAAAGGTCAAGAAATGAGGTCTGCTTGGTGAATGTGGGGTGACGCAGCATGGTTATACTGAGGTGGGATAGTTATACTGAAGATGGACGGTTATACTGAGGTGGGATAGTTATACTGAAGATGGAGGGTTATACTGAGGTGGGATAGTTATACTGAAGATGGAGGGTTATACTGAGGTGGGATAGTTATACTGAAGATGGACGGTTACACTGAGGTGGGATAGTTATACTGAAGATGGACGGTTATACTGAGGTGGGATAGTTATACTGAAGATGGAGGGTTATACTGAGGTGGGATAGTTATACTGAAGATGGAGGGTTATACTGAGGTGGGATAGTTATACTGAAGATGGACGGTTATACTGAGGTGGGATAGTTATACTGAATATGGAGGGTTATACTGAGGTGGGATAGTTATACTGAAGATGGACGGTTATACTGAGGTGGGATAGTTATACTGAAGATGGAGGGTTATACTGAGGTGGGATAGTTATACTGAAGATGGAGGGTTATACTGAGGTGGGATAGTTATACTGAAGATGGACGGTTATACTGAGGTGGGATAGTTATACTGAAGATGGACGGTTATACTGAGGTGGGATAGTTATACTGAAGATGGAGGGTTATACTGAGGTGGGATAGTTATACTGAAGATGGAGGGTTATACTGAGGTGGGATAGTTATACTGAAGATGGACGGTTATACTGAGGTGGGATAGTTATACTGAATATGGAGGGTTATACTGAGGTGGGATAGTTATACTGAAGATGGACGGTTATACTGAGGTGGGATAGTTATACTGAAGATGGAGGGTTATACTGAGGTGGGATAGTTATACTGAAGATGGAGGGTTATACTGAGGTGGGATAGTTATACTGAAGATGGAGGGTTATACTGAGGTGGGATAGTTATACTGAAGATGGAGGGTTATACTGAGGTGGGATAGTTATACTGAAGATGGACGGTTATACTGAGGTGGGATAGTTATACTGAAGATGGACGGTTATACTGAGGTGGGATAGTTATACTGAAGATGGAGGGTTATACTGAGGTGGGATAGTTATACTGAAGATGGAGGGTTATACTGAGGTGGGATAGTTATACTGAAGATGGACGGTTATACTGAGGTGGGATAGTTATACTGAATATGGAGGGTTATACTGAGGTGGGATAGTTATACTGAAGATGGAGGGTTATACTGAGGTGGGATAGTTATACTGAAGATGGAGGGTTATACTGAGGTGGGATAGTTATACTGAAGATGGAGGGTTATACTGAGGTGGGATAGTTATACTGAAGATGGAGGGTTATACTGAGGTGGGATAGTTATACTGAAGATGGACGGTTATACTGAGGTGGGATAGTTATACTGAAGCTAAACGGTTATACTGAGACAAGATGGTTATACTGAGACAAGATGGTTATACTGAAGCTGGATGGTTATACTGAGGCAAGATGGTTATACTAAACCTGGATGGTTATACTGAAGTTGGATAGTTATACTGAGGCAAGATGGTTATACTAAAGCTGGATGGTTATACTGAAGCTGGATGGTTATACTGAGGCAGCATGGTTATACTCACTAAGGCAGGATGGTTATACTGAAGCTGGATGGTTATACTGAAGCTGGATGGTTATACTGAGGCAGGATGGTTATAATGAGGCAGGATGGTTATACTCACTGAGGCCGGAAGGATATACTGAGGCAGGATGGGTATACTCAGGCAGGATGGTTGTACTGAGGCAGGATGGTTATACTGAGGCAGGATGGTTATACTCACTGAGGCCGGATGGATATACTGAGGCAGGATGGGTATACTCAGGCAGGATGGTTGTACTGAGGCAGGATGGTTATACTGAGGCAGGATGGTTATACTGTGGCAGGATGGTTATACTGAGGCAGGATGGTTATGCTAAGGCAGGATGGTTATACTGAGGCAGGATGTTATAATGAGGCTGGATGGTTATACTGAGGTTGGATAGTTATACTGAGGCAGGATGGTTATACTGAGGCAGGATGGTTAAACTGAGGCAGAATAGTTATACTGAGGCAGGATGGGTATACTGAGGCAGGATGGTTATACTGAGGCAGGTTATACTGAGGCAGGATGGTTATACTGAGGCTGGATGGTTATACTGAGCCAGGATGGTTATACTGAGGGAGGATGGTTATATTGAGGAAGGATGGTTATACTGAGGCAGGATGTTATACTGAGGCTGGATGGTTATACTGAGGCTGGATGGTTATACTGAGGCAGGATGGTTATACTGAGGCAAGATGGTTATACTGAGGCAGGATGGTTATATCGACGCAGGATGGTTATACTGAGGCAGGATGTTATACTAGGGCGGGATTATTATACTGAGGTAGGATGTTATACTAAGGCGGGATTGTTATACTGAGGCAGGATGTTATACTGAGGCCGCATGGTTATACTGAGGCTGGATGAATATACTGAGACAGGGTGGTTATACTGAGGCAGGATGGTCATACTGAGGCAGGATGGTTATACTGAGAAAGGATGGTTATACTGAGGCATGATGGTCATACTGAGGTAGGATGGTTATACTGAGGCAGGATGGTTATACTGAGGCAGTATGGTTATACTGAGGCAGGATGGTTATACTGAGGTTGGATGGTTATACTGAGGCAGGATGGTTATACTGAGGCAGGATGTTATACTGAGGCAGGATGATTTTACTGAGGGAGGATGGTTATACTTAAGTTGGATGGTTATACTGAGGCAGGATGGTTATACTGTGGCAGGATGGTTATACTGAGGCAGGATGGTTATTCTGAGGCAGGATGGTTATGCTGAGGCAGGATGTTTATACTGAGGCAGGATGTCATAATGAGGCTGGATGGTTATACTGAGGTTGGATAGTTATACTGAGGCAGGATGGTTATACTGAGGCAGGATGGTTAAACTGAGGCAGGATAGTTATACTGAGGCAGGATGGGTATACTGAGGCAGGATGGTTATACTGAGGCAGGAGGTTATACTGAGGCAGGATGGTTATACTGAGGCTGGATGGTTATACTGAGCCAGGATGGTTATACTGAGGGAGGATGGTTATATTGAGGAAGGATGGTTATACTGAGGCAGGATGTTATACTGAGGCTGGATGGTTATACTGAGGCTGGATGGTTATACTGAGGCAGGATGGTTATACTGAGGCAAGATGGTTATATCGATGCAGGATGGTTATACTGAGGCAGGATGTTATACTAGGGCGGGATTATTATACTGAGGTAGGATGTTATACTAAGGCGGGATTGTTATACTGAGGCAGGATGTTATACTGAGGCCGCATGGTTATACTGAGGCTGGATGAATATACTGAGACAGGGTGGTTATACTGAGGCAGGATGGTCATACTGAGGCAGGATGGTTATACTGAGACAGGATGGTTATACTGAGGCAGGATGGTCATACTGAGGTAGGATGGTTATACTGAGGCAGGATGGTTATACTGAGGCAGGATGGTTATACTGAGGCAGGATGGTTATACTGAGGTTGGATGGTTATACTGAGGCAGGATGGTTATACTGAGGCAGGATGGTTATACTGAGGCAGGATGGTTATACTCACTGAGGCAGGGTGGTTATACAGAGACACGATGTTATACAGAAGCAGGATGTTATACTGAGGCAGCATGGATATACTCACTGAGACAGGATGATTATACTGAGGCAGCATGGGTATACTCACTGAGGCAGGATGATTTTACTGAGGCGGGATGGTTATACTGAGGCAGGATGGTTATACTGAGGCAGGAAGGTTATATTGAGGAAGAATAGTTATACTGAGGCAGGATGGTTATACTGAGGCAGGATGGTTATACTGAGGTTGGGTGGTTACACTGAGGCAGGATGGTTATACTGAGGCAGGATGGTTATACTGAGGCAGGATGGGTATACTGAGGCAAGGTGGTTTCACTGAGGCAGGATGGTTATACTAAGAATTGATGTTATACTGAGGCAGGATGGTTATACTGAGGCAGGATGGGTATTCTGAGGCAGGATGGTTATACTGAGGCAGGATGGTAATACTGAAGCAGGATGGTTATACTGAGGCAGGATGTTATACTGAGGCAGGAACGTTGTACTGAGGCAGGATGGTTATACTAAGGCAGCATGGTTATACTGATGCAGGATGGTTTTACTGAGGGAGGATGGTTATACTGAGGCAAGATGGTTATACTGAAGCTGGATGGTTATACTTAAGTTGGATGGTTATACTGAGGCAGGATGGTTATACTGAGGCTGGATGGTTATATTGAGGCAGGATGGTTATACTGAAGCTGGATGGTTATACTTAAGTTGGATGGTTATACTGAGGCAGGATGGTTATACTGAGGCAGGATGCTTTTACTGAGGCAGGATGGTTATAAAGAGGCAGGATGCTTTTACTGAGGCAGGATGGTTATAGAGAGGTAGGATGGTTATACTGAAGCTGGATGGTTACACTTAAGTTGGATGGTTATACTGAGGCAGGATGGTTATCCTGTGGCAGGATGGTTATACTGAGGCAGGATGGTTATACTGTGGATGGAGGGTTATACTGAGGCAGGAT